ATATGAATTATATATAAATAATCATATATTATTATATATATTTTTATATATCTTTAATTATGTATATAAACGATTAAAATTTCTTAACCTTATTTTGTAAAATTTACATTTATTTAAAATTTTTTAAAACGCGGAAAATAATAATAATAATAAATATGCGAAATAAAATAATAAAATATGCGGAAATTTTAAATTACAAATTTATTCATAACTCCAAAGGGTATAGTTACAATATACCGCTTAATTTTAATCGTATAATATTTAAAATTATTTTATTCTTGTTTTAAATTCTATCTAAAAATTATTCATAATTGAACGTCTAATTTCATATAAATTTCAGGTTGTTGTTGATGGTGGGGAGACTGTGCCTGTAGAAGCCGGAAATGATGTAGATGTATGTTTGTGTTTGTGGTGATGTCTAGCACCATGTCCTCCTCTTTCAAAAGATCGCCAACGAGGATGCCACCAGCCATGATTTTTTTCCGACGAACTACTCGAAGATTTCTCATTATTTTTACGAGCATGCCAAGGAAAATAAAACTGAAATATTTATTAAGAATATTAAAAATTATTCGAATAGAGATAAGACCAGAGTTATGATGAATTCGTTAGTAAACTTTTTAAGATTTTCGTATTGGCTTTACTCTTTAATATATCGAGATCTCGTCAAGAATTTTAATTATTAGATAAAAGTTTAAGAACCATCGTATCTTGATCAACTTTCTAGCTAGTACTCTAATTAACTGACATAAAATATCTAATATATTTCTTATCCATTTGAATGTCCACCTTATACAAATAAAATGCCTTTTACTGTATAATTGAAGAATAGAATGCCCGAGCATTATATTAAAGTTTCTAAGGTAATTTACTAAGACTTATTTCTTCAGTTAATACGTTAACGACAATATAATGATTAGTGTTTCACCGGAACCGAAATTTTGACCGGAACCGGAACCGGAACCGGATCCAATTTAAGTTCCGGTTCCCGGAACCGGAACCGGAACTTTTCAAAGTTCCGGCCCGGAACCGGAACCGGAACCGGAACTTTTAAAAAAATTTTTGCTAGCACATTTTAAAAAATATTTTTTTAAGTAGGGGTGCGGTTTCGCCAAATTTTTCGATTAAATTCTGCCAAATTCTTCTGTTAATCGAAACGAAAAAAAATCCAAGTTTTGGAAGACCAAATCCCCAGCTATTCAATCCCTGATATCTAACTTGCACAGCTCATTCCCTGGACATCACACCCAAATCCCTCTATATTACCTATAACCCCTTGAACTCACATAATATAACTCAAAATCCACGTTCATCCATCCAAATCCTTCGATTTACCATACAACTTCCCTTCAAAGCGCCGCAGGCGAAAATTTTGGGATTTTAGGTGAACCAAGGATACAAAATTCTTCCTTTTTAAGCGCCGCAGGCGAAAATTTTGAGAATTTTGGAAGGCCAATCGAGGAAAATATTGCAAGGCCAATCCATATTTCTTAAAAAAACTAATCCTTAGGGGTGTAAAAAAGTTCCGGTTTGCCCGGAACCGATTTGTAAACCGGAGCCGGAACCGGAACCGGAACCAATTTAAGTTCCGGTTCCCGGAACCGGAACCGGAACCAAAAAAACACCGGAACTTTCCGGAACCGGAACCGGAACCGGAACTTCCGGTGAAACTCTAATAATGATATTAAAGAAAACTCAATTTGCCGATATTAATTATTTCCCAAATTATTAAATACGTACCGCACAAATATCGCTAACCAAAACTAAAATCAAAAACAAAAATAAGATTTGGCGATTAAACATTTTTAATTTTTATTTTCGGAATTATTTTAAAATGAAAGGTTTATTTAAATAAAATTTAAATTTTGAGAGAGTATTTATTCACCCAAAAATAGTCACCTGAACAAATTAAATATTCAAATTCAAAGTATATTAAAATTATTAAAAAAATTTTTTTGGCGAATAAAGGAATTTAACTCAAAAGATAAATGTCAACAAAAAGTACAAATTGTGTGAGTAATATATTTTATTTAATTTTACAATTGCGGATATGAAAAATCGAGAAAACATTTAAAAACTGAAGATATAAAAAATTATTTTTATTCAATTTCTTATTGCTAATTTTCACTTTTAATCCCTCTAAATCTCCTGATATCCCCTTAAACTCTTTTAATCCACCAATATACACCTTAGTCCCGAAATCACTCATTATCCCCTAATATTGATCAAAATTTTGTTGATGTAAATAATTGATGTATATAAACTGATTCAGAGTCAACTGGCATTCACGGTGTAGGTCTTCGGAGTGTAGGTCTAACCATAACCTTTTCTTTTAAAAGGCTATGGCCATAACCTTTTCTTTTAAAAGGCTATGGTTATCTTTTAGATTTTAAAATTTTTAAATTTATTTATTTTAGGATGGAGAAAAATATTTTGAGGGTACTTTTAATTTAAAAAATAAAATATGTATATTAAAATTTACCTTTCGCTCCTCCAAAAGCACTATAAGAAGAGAAAATATTTTCTTATTTTTGATAGTTTCAAAAAAGTTAAAATGCATGGCATCAATTATTAGTATGTTTACACAATGAAAATATTTTATCTTTTAAAATACATCAAAGTGTTATTTTAGTGTGTGTGAAAAAAGTGAAAAGAAAGATAAAGAAGGGATTCGAAAAAATGTGGAATTAACAACGTGCATAGACTTCATTTATTCGACAATGAAGTTTGGTATGTATTTAAAAATATATAAAAATTAATTATTTTAGATAATAAAATATTTTTAAGCTAATTTTTGAAAAGTTATCTAAAAATTTTGAAGGATATTTAAAATGATTTATTAAAATAATATTTTCACATCTATCTCCTTCATTTATTATTCTCTAATTTATTTAATTATTTAAACAATAATTTTTTTAAAACAATAGTAACTAAATTTTTCCATGATTTTACTTTCAGAAAAATAAAAAGTGAAAACGCTGTAAAGAGCTTTATGCTATAAAATTATGAACAAAAATCTTAAAGTTATTGGACAAAATGTTTTTTCATAAATAATTAATATTACCTTCCGATACCGAAAGGTATTATTTTTAAATTTTATCTAGTATTATTATAAAATTCTACAATTTTTAAAATTGAAAATTTAAATAGTCAAAATTATTACAAAAAAGTAATTATTGGAATCGCTCAGAAATGAACTGAATAAATTTTATTTTGAATTCCTTCTTTTATTTCTTCTTTTATTTTTGAATTATTTATCCTGTTATTATCTCCATTAATAGGTTCGACTCTACTAGAAGTGGTTGGCCCCAATTTTGATAATAAATGGCAGAAGGGTTTTTCCATTACATTTCTTTTTTCATATGAAGGCCATTTTGGTTGTAATTTAAATAATTCCTTCCAATGCTTTTTAAAAATAATTTTTTTATTAAGCGAAATGGCACTCTCGCTTTTCGACATTTGCGACCCACAACTAATATGGTGGTGGACCATACCTTACCCACAGACCCACCACCTTACAAGACATATTTTATGACAGAGCTGTTTCGATACAAAAAATCTCTTGTAAAAATGATTACCAAGGGATCTAAGTTTTCCTCCGTTCTTTGGAAAGAAGTGTAACATAGGCACTATGATTTGGAGAACATGCAGAAGAATAACTTTCATTTTATTCTGGATTTTAGGTTCTATTACTCCTCTTTGGACAACAAATGTCGGGCCGCAAGTGTCGAGCCCCTGTACCTTTCTCTTTTGTCTAAATTTTAACAAATTGTAAACAGCCATTATTGGCAATAATAGAATTGGTTAATTGATATTAGCCAGCCTAAACCAATTGCCCAACCTGGATATTCATAAAGCCTTTTGTCTTTTCCATAAGTTAAATTGTGTGAAATTTGAGTGAATAATACAACAATGAATAATATCTTTTTGAAATTTTAAATAGGATTAGTAACAGTTGGAATTCATTTTTACTACACCCAATACTATTTACATAACCAAGATTATTTAAAAATAAACACATTTCATTTTGAACTAAGTTTTTCAACATTTGGCTGTTTAGGGGAATTGTTTAAACGATATAACTATGTACTAGTAAAGGAACTCACAGTATAAGATATATTTTTTGGCTCAGAGTGTTTATTTTATTATGAGATCAATCGAGATTGTCCGCAAGTTATATCTCCAATATATGATGCTAAATTATGGCGGATTTCAAAAATAAATTTCTGTGATCGTAAAAAATTTTCATAGAAAATATTATCTTATCTTTAATAATCATCCTCTTAAGAATATAAAAATAAAAACTTGCGGATATAGGTTGCGGACTTGGAGTATAATGAAAAATTAATTTAAAAATTACGGTAATCTGAAGAGGTGCCAAAAAGCACCAAATCCCTGGAATATAATAACCAGTAGGACCAAATATTCTTCCTAACCAAGTACGTGGATAACCAAACATCGAACGCAAATCGTCCAAAAAATTTGGAAGGCCTTGAATTTTTTAATTAAATTATTTTTTAATTGGTAAAATAACCATAAATGTAGATAATTAAAATAATTTCTAATATAACCATTAACAATAGAGAAAATGAAGCAGAATAATCATTGAATATGTTAAAGAAAAATATTTCAGACTATAAAAAAAATTTCTTATAATTTTCAAGTAATTCATATCGGACGGAACATTCTCAAAAATTAAGCTTGAGACTTCATAGATTATTATATTCATAGATTATTATATCTTTGAAACTTTCTCTTAACTTTGTATTATGTACATAGTATATCTCTGGACTAGGAGTGAGCGCATTGCGTTTTGCGTTATATGCGTTAAATTTCAGCCTTGCATTGCGTTTTGCGTCGTGTTTTTGAGATTGCCTCTTGCGCTCACCCCTGCTCTGGCTAAACAACAACCTCAGAACAGATTTGGCGAGGTTTTAAAAAACCAGGTTGAACTATTGGAAAGTTGAGCGATGATTATTTTTAATGCTATATTTACTTAGCTAATAAATTTTATAATATCTATTTTTATGTGTACACAGATACTGAAAAGTAAAATAAAAGCTTACCCTTGTACACATAATTAGTCCGACTAAGAAAAGAGATCCACAAACCCCAACAGCCAGCCAACCCCTATAAAGACGAACAGCAGGGAATTGGTCATAAATGGCTGTAATCATAACTTCGGCTAATCCAAATTGAGAACTAATTCCCAGAATGAAAAGCATTAAGAAGAATAGGAACGACCAAAGCCAGGGAAGAGGCATTCTACTCATTGCCTTTAAAAATTCTTAAGAATTTTTTAATCTGAAAAACCTCGGGATATGCAATAAAAGCAAGTCCCGTTCCACTCTGTACAACTGTTTGTATTTTTGCATTTAATTGTTTGCTCATAAATCCCAAAACTGAGAAAACTGCAGTCCCTCCAAAGATGGACATAAAACCTTTTAGTTATCAGAATTATTTTAATTAATATCTGACTTGCTAAGATACACTCTCAGGGCTTAAAATAATAGCTAGCCTCCCATTCATTGTTTAACCATATTTTTATCAATTTTTGTAATGTGAGTATTAATCCAGCTAGGGAAGGATGGAAAAGGAATAGGAGAATGATCAGATAAGGCCTAGGATTAAGCAGTTGAAGAAAATTATCACCGATATCCGGGGAAGTCGGTCAATTCTTCATTCATTATCAAGTCCATCCCGGCCCTGTATCCTAACTTGTGGTAATTCTGTGGATATCTAATAGTGGGTCTTAAATGTATCTAACCATCGGCCATTGTAATTATAAAAGCATCTCTATAACAATTATGAGTTCTTGGATTATAGCTAGATAAAGACAAAATGCCTCCAAATCCAACAGAAAGACTATAGCATACTTGTGTTGCTGCTGCCCTCCAAGTCTTTTTTCAAATTTATTTTTAAATTTAATTATTAAAGTTTACCACGGGGTCAAGTATAACACTAAAATCAGGATGAAATATATAATAGTCTAATCCAATAGAAGCACCGTCTAAAGTAATTCCTCGAATAAAAAGAATAACAATTATAACGTAGGGAATGGTTGCGGTGAAGTAAGAGATTCTTTGAATTATAAATTGAAATAATTATTTTGTATGTCAACTCTCGTTAATAAAAATTTTTCATATCGAGATTAAAGTCTCTAAGTATCTTTAACTCGATGTGGGCACCTTTCAATAGGTTCCGGATATCCACTGATTAGAGGATCTCCCAAAATTATGTCAGATTATAATTTTATAAACCCTCATCTGAAGACTAAAATTATCCTTGATGTTTTACTAATCAACTCATTCCTATCTTACTTCTTATTAGGGATGGTCTCCAACTATTTGGAGGTAACTTTATCAAAGAAAGAAGATAAATGGCTTAAAAATTATTGTCGGGTGAGGACGTATATCAATTAAAGTCATTATACGTATGTCGGTTTAATCTTACATTATCCGATACCTAATCAAAAAATCCTTAGTCAAGAATCGGCATAATTTAAAGCAATATTCATGAATTAATAAATAATTTTCTTACTTTCCCATCATTTTAACTCCCTTCACCAAAACTAGCCCTGTAAGAGTCCAAGCAATAGCTAATGCCAAAGCTACTTTTAAATTAATTCCTCCAAATTGATCCAATTTTAAAGTTTTTTCCAAAACATAATTCCTTTGATAAAAATATAACTTTTATTTTATATTAAATTTAGGGTTGCCAAAATGGACCGACTCGGACCGAAAGATCGAGTCATGCCTCGATGTTTGGCCCGAAAAAGTCTCGTACCGGCCCGACTCGATAAAGTTGGGCCCGAAAAAGACTCGTAACGGCCCGACTCGATAAAGTTAGGCCCGAAAGTGACTCGTACCGGCCCGACTCGATAAAAACAGGCCCGAAAAAAATTGTCTCGGAAAAAGTCGGCCCGACTCGAACAAGACTCGATAATATTTTTACCAGATTTGTGGACAAAAATGGGAGAAATCTGGCTCCTTGGCCTTCCAAAATTCGAAAAATTTTCGCCTGCGGCGCTGAAAAAGGAAGAAATTTGGTCCTTAGCCTTCCGAATATCTCAAAATTTTTGCCTGCGGCGCTGAAATGAAAAATTTTTAGCTCAATACTTTGCTTCACATCTCGAACTTACTGGCTTTAATCGATAAGCTGGACTTTAAAATACGCAGTCGTAATCTTCAGTCCACAAGTCAAAAACACACAATCTTACGCAATCCGCAGTCCACCATCCGGGATATAAGGTGTAATCTGGGAATATAAGGCGGTTTGAGAGATTAAGTCAAGGGCGTATCCAGGGGGTCCAAAATTCTCAAAATTTTCGCCTGCGGCGCTAAAAATAGAAGAAATCTGGTTTCCTGACTTTCCAGTAAGCCCTTATCTAAATACGAATAGACCAATCATGGTACACTGGGATTTTATTAAGGGATTTAGTGATTAACGCACAATATGATTAACGCGATCCTGATCCCCTTAATCATCTGATCTCCTTTAATAAAACCAAATCTAGCAATATCTCACACCAATCCTCCGATAATTTAAATCACCTTAATCCCTCAAATCCACTGATATCCATTTAAATTCTCTTCAGCCCTTCCTTTACCCTCCAGATTCATCGATATACCTTTTAATTCACAGATATCCCTCCAAATCCACTAATTATTTTTAAATAAATCTTTTAAAAAAAGACTCGAAAATGTCTCGATGCCCGACTCGATAAAGTCAGGCCCGAAAGTGACTCGTTCCGGCCCGACTCGATAAAGTTAGGCCCGAAAAAGACTCGTACCGGCCCGACTCGATAAAAACAAGCCCGAAAAAAATGCCTCGACCGTCGGCCCGACTCGAAAACGGCAACCCTAATTAAATTCAAACTCAAAAAATTCTTCTGCTGGACTGACTGCAGACAATTTATTAAATGTTTCAGTTTTTAAATTTTTTGTAATTGAATCATTGGAAAAATGACAACTTTTATTAAAATAAAATGCCAAATCATTTTGAGATTTTTCTGAAAATTCGTCTATGCAAAGACTGTCTTCTACTGTAGATTGACAATCTAAATAATATATGCAAAATATTTAGTAAGCAAAATTTTTTTAAGTAAATCGGCACTTCAATCCCTGCAAGAATAATCAGACCTCACTTTAAAATATACCCAAGAGGGGTGTGTGATCCCACTTGATAAGTGGGATCAAGAGCTTAGGTTTAAAGAAGTCCGTCAGATTGGAACAGTGTCAGGCGGGGACATTAGATAATTTAGATTAAATGGTTTCAGGTATCAGATCGGGTCAGTACCGGGTATTGAAGGATTATTGAGGGATTCTTTTTAAGCACTCGATAACCAGTAAGGGTATTGAGTGATTAGATGATTTGCTCCTGATCCCTCCCTAGATATATTCCCAAATTATTCCCCTTACTCTATCCAACCCCCATGATCGCCCATATAATCCTTATTAATCTTATTAATCTATAGGATTCAAGTGAGTTAGCTTAATTTAAATTTTCAGGTCAATCCCAAGGTGTATAAAGAGGTAAGATAAGATTTTAGTCTAATGAGCTTTGACTTTAGTTTGAAAAATTATATTTATTACAGATAGTATTGTAATCATTTCTACATGAAGCCCATTCTCCAGAACGGCCTGTTACTATCTATAAATTAATAAAATTAAAATAGTTTTTAGGAAATTTTTTACAGTCCAAAGGTAGATTAATACCCATGCAAGAATAACCTTAAAATTAATTTTAAAATAAATATTTGAATAAACCCTTACATTATAATAAACTGAAACAATTAATGACATTGCTGACTTTAAAAATTACCGTATTTCCTAAAATAGTACTCCCGGGAGTACTATTTTTCAACCCTCCTCCAAAGGGGAGTACTATTTAAGGTGGGAGTACTAATTCAGGGGGGAGTACTATTTTTCAACCCTTATTTATGATTTATCATAAGAAAATTTATTTCAAAATTCTAAATCAATTTGAGTTCGTTATTTGAAAAATGACGGATCCGACACGGATTTTCTAAATTTACCTCTATATCCATCTTGAACTCCCGACCAGTTAATACACTTGATATGAGAAAATTCCCTAGATATCCTTCAAAAACACTGATATACCCCTTAATCTTTTCAAACCTCGTAATCTCACTAATCCGCATATATCTGCCGATATTATTCAATGTCACTGCGCAATTGATGTACCTAATCGCTGTGTCTAGGGATTTATCAGCATTAATCACCGATATCCTCCACATCTCTTTTTCTTCGAATATCCCTACGAATCCTAGGGTATCCATATTAGGCGGGATAACAAATAGATTTTCGTCCTGAACGCTCGGGAATGAGTGCGTCCCGAACACTCAACCTTCATTTTTCTCTCAAATTCCTTTATCAAACCATACTACTTGATCAATCTAGAACACATTTTATCACCCGATATAATCCCTTTATATCCCCAAAATCCACTTTTACCCCACCAACTAATCAATTATATCCCTTTAATTGCCGACAAATTTTAGGTTAAAATTTCGGTACGTTTTCGGTCAACAGATGCTGTTCGGTTTCGGTTATCGAAGAATCAAGTGAAACTGACAACCCTAATCAGAATAAATAAAATAATTCAATAAGTAAATTTCAATAGAATAATTCAATGTTTCTTTTATAATTTTTTTCAAATATAGGGGAAAAATATTTTAGGGGGGAGTACTATTTTAGGGGGAGTACTATTTAAGGGGGGAGTACTATTTTTCAACCCTCCTCCAAAGGGGAGTATTATTTAAGGGGGGAGTACTAATTCAGGGGGGAGTATTATTTTAGGAAATACGGTAAATGGTTAAAATTTTGAGAGTAAACGAACCATACTCCATCCAATTCCTGAAAATATTATTAAGATTATTTTTAATACATAAGTCAGATAGCCTTACTACCGTCGGTATTTTTTCGTATATTTATTAAGAGACTATTAAGGCTATCAAGTGATTGAGAGGCTTTTTTCCCGCTTAAACTACCGTATCGTCTTAGGCCTTCCAAATCCAGCGATATCCTTTCTAATTAATCCAATCCCTCCGACCATGTATCCCCTCTTATGCCCACCAAACTCACCGATATCCTTCCTAATTTCTACAAATCCATCTCGCGGATCAGACCCGAGACTCGAATTTTTTCCGTCATGGACTTATACATTACTTATTTTCATTAATCAAATAAATAACCATGAAAAAGCGGCCTAATCCTGCCATAAACCACAGCAGTACCGCTTTGACTAAACTGGCCGAGTGACATTTCAAGGTGGAGAAGAGGCAATCCAACAATAAAAGAGCAAATTAAATAAGGGATTAGAAAGGCACCTTTTTAGTTTTTAATTTTTTCAGCTAAGTTTTTTAATAATACCTCCTCCATGTTCATAAGCCAGAGAGGGAAATCTCCATAAATCTGAGCATATTTTAAAAATTAATTAAAATTTTAAATTTGTGGGAGCAATCCCAACGATTTCTTGGCAAAATTTCTAAAGCTTAACTCTAGCTTGTGGCTTTTCGAGTCGAATCCAGGCTCCGAAAACTTTGAACTTGAAAGGTAAATTTCCCTAACAGCCTTGAGCTTTCTATCTGGCAGCCTCAATATTAACCCTAACACCCCGGAGCTGTCCACAGGCCTTCCTCAACATTCACATGCCAGCCTCAATATTTAGTGTTAATTAATAGAATATCTGCCCTAAAGGTCTGAGTTGCTCCTCTTAATTTAATTAAGTAATTACTTCCTAAACCAACAGCATATCCAATACAAGTAAGTATAAATTGCCAATCGCTAGACCATTGTGCTCGTTCGTGTGTAGTTTTGGAAGTTGATTCCATTATTTAAAAGAAATTTAAAATTTTTTTAGCTAATTTTTAAGAAAATTGTTAAAGTTAAAAATCAACAACTTATCATTTTATTTGCTTATCAAAAATTAAAAGATTTAAATTATTATTTGTTCTATTATTCAATAAATATTGCCACTCGACAAAAGGAAAAGCACGTAATTTAATATAAAAACTTTTCCCTTCGAATAGTAAGGGAAATAAAAATTGAAAATGAAAAGTTAAAAAAATTTTTTATTCCAAAATGTGTTTAGATTTCTTTCATTTTTGAAAAGGAGAATACCAGAGAGGTGAATTACACGTTTAAAAATAATTAAAAAATTAGTAAGGAATGCTTTTAAAGACGTCTTAAAATTCTTAAATATTTTCATCTTGTTGATTCACCTCTCTATTGTAGACCTCAAATCTAAACTGGAGTCTTATCAGAATAATTAATAGTGATATCTAGTACATAAAGTAAAGCAGCTGGGCTATAGCTATTTCTCTCCTTTACGTACTGCAAAAGGTTATTCGGCGGCTGGGAGCGAACCAGCATCTTCAGTAGACCGGAATTATGTGTTAGCCATTACACCACGCCGCCTACTGCTCAGCCTTAGGAAATTAATAGCTATATGCTTTACAATAATCAACTAGAAAATTGTGTATAGGATTTCCAACTGAACTTAAAAAAGCATTTAAAATATTTTCTTAAATTTTCTTCCTGGTTGTCAAGAATGAATGTTTGTCAACAAATTCTTTTTAATAAAAGCATTCGTTTATAAAAACATTTTTTAAATATAAAAGAATTTTAAAATTAAAAAATTGAAGTGATCAAAAGAAAAATTAAAAAATCTTATATATACCCGCTTTCGAAAATATTTAAAAAGTAGAGCTAATAGATGAGTATTTAAGAAAGTCGGGTACTGGACACAAAATGGTCATTTTTCACTTAAAACCGGTGGTCCGGAATTCGGTTATTTTCATAAAACCGGATTTTCCGGATTTCGATACAGAAAATCCCGTCCAAAAAATCCAAGAAAGTCATTTAAAACTTCCTATAGGTCCCTTCATTCTTTATTAAATTTTGATCATAATTTTTGATAAAAAATGAAAGGGGAATAATCAAAGGAGAGTTGGTATTTATAAACGTTATTTAAAATTCAATTTCAGACAAATTTTTTGTCCTTAATCGAAATAAAAAATTTTTATTGAGAGAAAAGTTCAATCAAATAATTTTAATTTAAATAATTATTTAAATCTTTTTATTTTTTATATTTAAATTTTAATGTAAATATTTTTATTAGGAAATGAAAAAAATCATAGAATTGATAAATTTAAAAATATTTAATAAACTTAGACACAGGGAACTTTAAGCCTCAATCCAATCGAATCTTGTATATTAATCAAAAACTCTTGATAAGCGAAATCTCGTTTACAATGGGATTAATCAAGCCGATCACTCACAAAAATGTTAAAAGACGAAAATTTGTTCGTTTCATTTAACCGAAATTTCGGTCGGTTTCGATTAGCCGAAAAATTTAGTGGAACTGGGCTTCTGTTCTCAATACCTCTCTGTCACTGGTCAATTCATTATACTTTAAAGAAATTTTGTTTTGGAGCCGATATCATAAGATTTCGGTTCGGAAATAGAATGGGTATCCCAGATAGTTCCAATGATCATTATACTTTTTGCAATAACTTTGAATTTCAGTGAAGACTTTCGCCTTTCGTCTTTCGCTTTTTAAAATTCGGTTGGCTTCATCCCTGTTATATAGTACAGTATAAGAAAATATTCTAGCGTTTTATCAAATAATCAAAAGATTAATATTTACAATAAGAACAATTTAAGGCGGAAAAATGATTTTGAACGACGATTTCCTATATTTTTGAATTTGTTATTGCAGCAGACTGAACCTTTTTCTTTGTATTCACAGCTAAATCACTAATAGCTTTAGCTTCCTTTACAAATTTTGTTGAAGTTTTTGCGGCTGCTACAGCATTCTTTTCCTTTGCCTTGTCTAGCAGAACCAATTTCTTTTTAATTTTAAAAGGTTGAGGTCCTCCAGATGCCAAATTCATAAAGAAAGGGCCATTGGGAGGATAGGAAGTAATTGAGGGATTTAAGGATTGAAGACCAGAATAAAAATCTTGTGGAGGGGAGACAGAAGGAGGTAAAGCTAACAATCCTGTGTTGTCCAAACTGGAAATAAAATTAGGTTAATAGAGTTAGGGGCTGACACACAGTTAGGGGTTGAGTCTTGGTCGGCAAATGAGCCGTCCGTAGCTTTTTTTATATTTTTGTATACTATATTTACTAATGTAACAAGCATGTTATTCTATCCTGGTATTATTCTGTAGTCATAGGTTAGACCATACCTGGGCCAATATCTATTGAACGGACTCTCTAATACAAAGGAAAAAAACTTGGGGCTTAATCATAGTTGAGGAAGACCTTAAGGACCTTAATCGGAGAGGGTAATGGTACCTTAATCTGGGGGGGGGGGGGGGAGAAGTAAGGGTCAATTAGGAACTCAATTGGCTATTTAAGATGAATGTACAAACCTTCCAATAGAATCAGACAATCCACCACTAGAAACAAGTCCCCCTTTAAACTGCCCATTTAATGGTTGGTAAATCCCTTGAAGAGAAGGCGCTGTTGTACCAATAATTTTATTTCCAATAATCTGTGGATATTCACTTGCAAGTTGGGAAATTATATTCGAAGTTGTTGAGGGAGACGAAAGGGGTTGAGTTGCATAAACTATGGTAGAAGGCATTGGAGGGAGTGGATATGCTGGAGGGGCCGTTGGAGATTGATAAATTGGTGGGGGTGTAGGCAGTGCTGGAGCTGCTGGGAGATATGTAGGAGGTGGAAGAGGTGCTGGATAGGCAGCTGGAGGCGCCGGATAGGCTGGAGGAGGTGGTGGTGGTTGATATACTGGAGGAGGTGAATATGAAGGTGCTGGAGGTTGATATGAGTAGCTGGGAGGTGGAGGAGCATATGGAGCAGTTCCGCCATATGAAGAGTATGAAGGTGGAGGTGGTGGAGGTAAAGGCATTTTATAACTGAAGATATTCTTTTTTATTTTTGGCTTAGTTATTAAAAGAAACCTATCTCCATAACTTCCTCCTCCATAATTATCCTTTCCATAACTGTCTCCACCATAAGAATCATATCCTTTCCCACCGCCGCCATATTTGCTCTTCTTATATCCTTTATCATATCCCCCTTCATGACTATCCATACTATAACCATAATCACCACCACCATACTTTCCTCCATGAGATCCATGATCTTTAGAATATGGAGCTGAGTAACTAAACAAAAACAATTATTATCTATGAGGAATATTTTATCTTGTAAGAAGACGAAAATTTTGGGATTTTTTGGAAGACCAAGAAGTTAAATGAGCCGCTTGACTAGTTCGTAAATAAAATACCTTCCAGAATGGCCAGTGGAAGAACATGGTGGAGCATTAGTACAAGTCGGAGTGGAACAACACTGTCCAGCTGGAGGTAGACAACCAAAAACGGAACGTGTAAACAGATTAAAATAAATTAAAACAATGAGTGGATTTATATAAATATTTTTGTTTAAATTCATTTTTCTTATCAATTTAAATAATAACTGAAAATATGAAATAATTTTGACAATATTCTCAAAAACTCATGCCAATACATTTTTGAATTTAATAATCTAAGAATCTCCGACACGGATGGAGAAATATGCTTGCTCTATAGCAGAGGTGGGTCGGAATTCCGATTTCCAACGTTTTTTTCCTTCCGATTTCTGAAATAAATTTTAATTTCCGATTTCCAATTTCCGACTTTTGAGACATTTCCGATTTCCGACAGTTCCGATTTCCGACACCTCTGACTGTTCCGACCCACCTCTGCGAGCGTAGTTAGCTCGATTGAGCAACGCTCTATCAAGGCTCCAGGATTTTTAAATCTTGATAAAGCTCTGAAGCCACCACCGGACGTAGACCCACAAAATATATTTTTGTTTAATAATATTTAAAAAATATTACTAAAGTTTTAATAATAAAATGATAAAATTATTAAAATAAATTTATAATTTATATTACGTTTTATTCCAAAAATAATTTTTAAGTGGATCGGTTTAAAGTAACAAAACAAGCTTTTAATATTATTTTGTCCTAAACCGATTATTTTTATTTAGCTTTGTTGCCTTTCAATTAAAAAACAGCCTTGCCTTGTCTACGTTTAATATTTATGCAAAATAACAATAAATTTGACCAAATGGACACTAAAAATATTTTTATTTGCACAACTTGATCGAAAATAATTTTGTTATGAAATAAGCTTAAGTCAAGGACTATAAACATGTTTTTCTATAAAATGTATATTAATTTGTAATGCAAGTCTGGCATAGTAAAAAACAATTTCAAATTACAAAAGTACTTTATTTTCTCTAATTGAACGGCCGGCCGCTTATATTTTTATCATCTCTTAGGTTTATCCTTTTTAAGCGGCGAAGGCAAAATTCTGAAATTTTCTAAAGACCTAGTAGAAATCCTCCTTTTTAACAAAATAAAAAAAAGTACAAGAAAGTTAGCATTTTTAAAATTTTTCTGGTTCGTTTTAAAAAGGATGGCGTATTTTTAAATTTCAAACAGAAAATTTGAACAGATCTGGGACATCTTTCGGCTATACCTTAAGATATATGTACGTCCCGTGAAATTTTATGAGTCCCATATGGCCCTATAAACTTTTTAACGTTCCATCAGAGTCAGGGGAGGCAAATTGATTCGACTCACCAAGGTAGATCCTTTCTTGTTACTAGCCTTTTTTAGTATTTTTTAAAGTCCAGACATTCAAAAAGTTGAAATCCGGTTTAGGTAATTCAACAATAATTTGATAGACTATTCACGTGATTTTCAATGAAAAATTTAATAAAATTAGGTAATTGCATCATTTATTTAAAAAATGATTAAATGCTCTTCGCCCTATTCTTTATTTTTTATAAGTCGATTAAGTAAAGGATTTTATTTTGAAATTGTAATTCCCATAAAAGTACATGAGAGTGAATATGTAATATTCGATGTTGTCTACATAAATATATAAAAAATAAACAAACAATTAATTTTTAAATTAATTAATTTATTATTAAAATTAATTCTAAAATAAAACAAATGAATTTATTTATAATATTAAATATATTATTTTTAATTGGTTATTCAAATTCTGGCAATATCCCACAAAGTAATTTATAAAAATATTATTTTTTAAATAAAAATACAACATCTAACATGTCTAATTCCACAAGAATTGATTTGTTGTTGTTGTAGAATTAGATTCTCCATTTGTTATACCACTTGCAAGATTCACCACAAAATTAAAGTCTTAAGCAAAGAAATTAATTAGGTTCACTGAAATAAATTTCGCTATGATTATACTTGCCGTCACCATTTTATTTAAAACAATTTTATTTAATTAAATAAATAAATTAATAATCGAATAAGAAATGTTGTTAAGTGGAAAAAGTTTGGTTAAGTGAATATTATGAGTCATATTACTGTTTGGGAGATCCTTTTTATTGTTTCATTTTTCCTTCCCTTTTTTGTTCATAGATTTAACTTTCATAAGCGGTGTAATAAGCGGAAACCGTACCTCTACAACTCGAGCGGTGCTTTCTCCCCGATCGGGGTATGCGTTCCTTTTAACCATTAAATTTCTCCCTATTACACCGCTTGTCTCTCTAAAACATTTTACAAACAAAGGCAGGAAGGAAAAATGAATAAAGTCTAAGGATTGCTATTAACATTAATATTGATTGAAAATAAATACTTAAAGCGATAAATTAATTAAATAATGGCGATTAAGAATTTGAGTCTATTGGAAATTTTGGTCATCTTTCCTCTGGAATTGATTGGTCGGTCGCTCGAGGCTCGTGAACAAATTGAGATCCTTAATACGTATTTTTTAATTTTCAGAACACAAAAATTTTTAATAACCCTAAGCTTCAATAAACTTTCAAAAATTATTTCAGAATCGAGCAATATGCATCACTTTTGGGCTTTTACGTCAAATCCTTTAAGCAACCATGCAATACATGTGTTAGAAAAAAATTATAAAGAATTTCTTATAGCAAAGGATAATTATAATGCCAGAATGAATTTATTAATTAATTCACAAATGTATTTATTAGAAAAAACAATGAAAAAAGTTGAACCAAATATTGAATTGAGGTGTGTTTGAATTTTAATTTTATTGGAAACTGAGGACTATAAAATTCAGACTAAAAATTAAAACTAACAAATAATAATTAATTTTAAAGCTTTATCTTCCGCTTTTTTCTCCGTGCTAGTCTTGAAATAAATATTTGTGTTTCAATTAAATATAAAGAAAAACTTCGTAAATATGCTCAGATGGATATAAATTCAATTTGTGTTACAAATTTATCAATTGAATGTTTTATCATATTTAAAGATAGAAAAATTCTCGGTCTAATTGATAGCAGATTGGAAGAATTGAGAGAAACAGTTTTTAATGTTTTTTATATTTATTTTTTAAAGAAAACTGAATCATTTCAGCAATTTTTAGGGTATTTTAATATAAAAATAACTTATATATAAAATATATGATCTTTATATGATCTTTATTGAAATCTTAATCCCTTATCTTGTTTGACATTTTTGAGCGTTTCCCTTAAAATTAAAGTCTTATATGATCTCGGAATGGGTCTACACGCGGGTTCTTCTTTTACATATCCTTGCTAACAGTTGACCATTCACGTGTATATCAAATTATTATCAAGTATCACGTCCTTATCTAGTATTTATTAAAACTAATTTTAGACAAAATTTGGCTAATTATCAAAATGAAGATTTGATTGAGCAATTTTATGACCGATTATTGCTAATATTTGGCCATTCACGTCTTATACTATTGCGCGTAGACTATCAAGAAATGTTTGGATTAACTGGTTGCGCATTTTATAATTTATTTGAAATATTTAAAAAAATTTTTAGATAATGAGGATAAAACATTAATTTTAACAAAATTGTTTGAACATTCTTTATATGCAGATGTTATATATAAATGGAGATCAAGAAATGTTTTAGATTTTATTCTTTATAAGGATTGGTTTGATAAATTTGTTAAAGAAAATTGTAAGGAATTTTATAATAAATTAAAAGTATAAGACTGTGGCCCATCAAAAGACTATTTATATGTATGTAAAGATAAGGCACATAGGCAGACCCAATACGAGAAATATAAAAAGAAGATGGGACCTGATCCTGAGAGCTGTTAGATTAAAGATTATTGTTAATTGCCCAACCCCTACACACCGACAGAACGTTTACATTTTTGCTATATTTATTTACCTGGGACGAACCTTTGCCTGTTACACGAAGTAAATTATCTTAGGGATGGATACAGAATTTTGGGGGTTAATCCAGAGATATTTACTGGATATAACAATGAATATATAATTAATGAATAGATAATAAATAGAGCCCAGTCGGAGGTTCGGAGATATTTCTGCAATAAATATCGAAACTGAATATCGAAAAAAATGTGGAAAAGATATCTAATTCTAAATATTTAATTTTAGCTAAAAACGAAATAATTGAACAATTTTGGAATAAAATATTCAAAAATTATTGGTTCGGTGTGAAATTATTAATCGAATATATTGAAAATTCAAATGATCCATCTGAGAAGGAAATTGATAATGAAATTACGGTATAATTACTTAAATTATATTGTCTAAAGAACTTATTGAAAGCCTGAGATCATTCTAAAAACACGTTATGAACTATCATCATTTTACCTAGCTTAAGTTCAAGAGAAAATGTAATAGTAAAGGCTATACCCGGAGATCGTGCCATAAGGGTGAGCCTCACCTAAAGTCCCCCACTAGGGTTGTCGGATCCAAATATCCTGATCCGAAAAAGGCAAGATATCTAGAAAATTTCGATTGGATCCGGGTATCCGAAATATTCGATTCGTATATCGGATCCGGATACCCGAGGATTTCCAACTAGCCGACAACCCTATCCCTCACGCCTCCAATTTCATTTGATTTGCCATTTTAATAAATAATTCGTAAAGTTATCTACCTAAGATTTTAAATTTAAATTTTTTTCATTCTCTATAGAGCCAATTTCTCGATCCAATAAAGTATGCATTAGAACCCAAAAATTCATATCTGAATTTTCTTTATTCGGCAAGAGAGTGTACTTTAAATTACAAACAGAGTAGATCATTAAAGAAATGTGTTGGAAAGAGATTTAATGAAATTTCAAACAAAAGTTTTGCAAAAGTCAAGATATTACGTTTAGAGAAATTGAAAGAAATATTTTACGAAAATAGACCTACTCAAAATAATAACGAAATTTTTGACGCATTGGAGAAAATATTTACACATAGAAATGGTAAAGTAGTTTAATTTGTTTTACTAAGATAAGACCAAACTAAAATTAAATATTCTCTACAAAATTAATTTAGATAAGGCAATCGAAGAGTTTATAGGTATTAAAAAATCTGCCTTCAGTAAACAGGTTTTTATTTTTATCTTTGAATTTTTACAGTATCCAGTTGACTGAATTCTTTGTTGCAAATGAAGCTAATAATGAATTAACAGATTTAAAAGATGAAGTTGTAGAGATAAGTTTTAAGTTAATCTAGGTATATCAGATAACTCGATATTAGGTAGTTGGGATTGGGTGAATAAATTTGATAAGAAAAAGGTGGTTGAATCTTTGGGAGGGGGGGGGGGTTGAATCATTTGTCTTATATCCTAGAGCTAAAATGGTTTGGAATCTTAATATGTCTTGGTGATAAAATATGAATTATCGTCTTAGATTGATAGATCCCTCACTGAGGGCTTTGGAGAAGCTATGGTATAGGTCCAATAGTTGATAGTTGGGTTTGGGTTAAAATTTAATCGGCGGTTTAAAATTTATTTTAAGTAAAAGACAAGGATCCAATCGTTCCGTTAATAATAAAGGAAAAAGAGGAAAAGAAAACTAAAAAATTTTCCGAAGAAATTAAAAATGCTTTTCATGGTTATGAAGAAATTTTAAAATTTTTTGATGATTTAAAATCAACAAATGATCAAAAATACGAAAATATTTTTGATTCAAACAATGATGAATTTATTAAATTAATTTCTACGAAAAAAATTAAATTATTGGATAATATTACATTTAATGTCAAAAAACAAATTTATTTATATGGAACTGGACATCAATTAAATAACGATTTTAGCAAATTTTTGACAGAAATTTTTGGAAAATTTGAGAAAGAAAATATATTTTTAAAAGTTGAAGAAGCAACACTTTATAGTTGGCATATTTATAAAATTGTTTTTATAATTATTAGTGAATTGACAAAAAATGTCAAGAATTTGGAGGTTTTTAAATTTAAATATTTTATTTAGGATTAAGCAAATAAAGACAATTGAGCTTTTAAAAAAGGCTGCTAACGCCGGTCATTTAGCAAAGGCTAGAGGTCGCAGGTCCGATATCTGCTTGGATCTAAAAATTTATACTTCACTATTAATTAAGAATTGAAACGCTGGAACTTATTTACTTTAACTACACACCCCATTTATTCGCAAGAAGGCCATCAATCAAACTTAAATTGTTCAGAAGGTCAGCCTTTCTTTCTTCCTCGATGTTACTTAATTTTCCCTGTGGCATGTGCAATGAGAGAAAGAAATGAAGAAGGACAGACAATGACAGGATAACACGGACGGACAAACAAAACTCGGAAGAATAATGACGGACTCGCACAGACAAAACACCGACGGACTTGGACAGACAAAACACGGGCGGACTTGGACAGACAAAACACGGACGGACTTGGACAGACAAAACACGGACGGACTTGGACAGATAAAACACGGACGAACAGACAAACTCGGACGAACACGGACGGACTCGCACAGACAGCACACGGACGGATACGGACAGACAAAACTCGGACGAACACGGACGGACTCGCACAGAGATGTTCCTAAACAACCGTGTGGTAATAACTGAAACGGCAAAAATAAGAATATTGATTCAAATGTTAACTTTTATTTTGTTGAAATTGGAAAGAAAAATTGATCTCTTCCTTATTAATTTCTCTCATTGCACATGCCACAGGGAAAATTGAGTAACATCGAGGAAGAAAGAAAGGCTGACCTTTCTGAACAATTTAAGTTTGATTGATGGCCTTCTTGCGAATAAATGGGGTGTGTAGTTAAAGTAAATAAGTTCCGAAACGCTGATACTATCTGATGTGTTGAGCGTATAAAGAGATTTGCCAAGCTCGACTAGCTCAATAATAACAGTTGATCTAGATTGGAAAGTATCAATGTAGGCTATTATGGAATTGCGGCTGGATCAGACAAAGAAGAACAGGGACTAAGGAACATAAAGGACTTGATGGGCTTTTATGATCCATCAACTTTTTACTATCATAAATCGGCTGTTTATATATTAATACTACGTATTACACAAAAGTCTACCTTTAAACGGGAGTTTTACTTAGAAGCTCCAGCAAAGGTTCCCCAAAGTTAAAAGTAAATAAGATAGAATGTATCTAATATCAAATTACCGTATTTCCTATATTAGAGCCCCAGCCTCTGTTAGAGCCCCACCCTCTAATACAGCCCCACTTTGGAGGTTAGTTGAAAAATAGAGCCCCACCCTCAATTAGAGCCCCACCCCAAATACAGCCCCACCTAAAAAATTTTGGAGGAAAAAATATCCAAATAACTTTATAGATGTATTAAGAGAGTTAAGGAAAGAAAGAGGGATATCGATGATTCGTGATCATGGAGGAGGAGGGATCATGGGGATATACCAGTTCTAGTTCTGGAACTGCTTTTTGAATTTCTTCAGTTCCAGTTCTGGAACCTGTTCCAGAGCCTCGTCAAACAAAATCACTTCATATGCCTCCTATTACCCCTAGTCCAGAATATTCCTCTTAATCCCGCTAAATCTCTCAATATAAACTTAATCCGCTTATATTCACCATAATCCCTTAAAATCCACTATTATATCTTTGATCCATCGATGTCAAATACTGGTCCCCTAATATTTCCCTTAACCCGTCCAAATCTACCAAAATTTCATAATTGATCTTACTCTCATTGAACTATTGCTACTATTTTGTTATTCATTGCTTATAAAATTTTAATTTTTGTGAAAAATCGAAAATTTCGATCCTCGTTCGATATTTTTCGGTTTTATCGACCACCCCTCCGGCCTAACTCTAGTTGCAATGGATATTTAATAAATGGGATTTTATCTCAAAAGAGGGTTGAAAAATAGAGCCCCACCCTCAATTAAAGCCCCACCCTTTAATACAGCCCCACCTTGGAGGATAGTTGAAAAATAGAGCCCCATGGGGCTCTAATATAGGAAATACGGTAAGTCTGTTTTTCATTTTATAAATTTTAGCTATCTTCAACCGATATTATAAATTTTAAAGAAAAGCTGTTACAAGTAGAAAAATATTTGATTGACCAATTGTAAGTTTCGATATATTTTAATAATTTAATATTATATAAATTAAGACCAAATGATGGTAAAATTAAATTTGCAAATTATCAAAAGGAATTCTTCAACTCTTGTATGGAATTGCCAATTATCAAAAATCTGACCAAACGAAAGAGAATAATTTGATTTAGTACATTTTACAAATTCAAAATTTATAAATTTTTTTGATAAATAATGTATGATTTATTCATTAAAGAAAACTGAATAAATAAATTTTAAAATTAATCACATGAGACTATTGCCATTTTGTTCTTCAATTGAAGCATTCTTATCATTTTCTTCCTCATTCTCTTTATTTTTCCTCAGCATTCTTATCATTTTCTTCCTCATTCTCTTTATTTTTTCCTGCTTCTTTCTCTTCATTTCCTCGCATCTTCTCTTCAATTTCTAGCTTCTCTTCTTAAATTTCTTCCTCCTCCTGTTCAATTTACTCATCCTTTTCAATATTTTGCCCCTTTTCATTTTCCTCCTCCTTCTCTTTAAATTCTTCCTCCTCTACAATTTTTTCATTGACACCCTCCTCCTATTTCACTCGCCCAGAATAGGTTCTGACACGCCGACTTGGACTTATAGCCAGATGTTAAAAAACGTTTTTGAAGGAAATAAAATAGAATGGTGGCGTATATTGCGATAATATCGCTAAATCTTAACCTTATAAAATCTATTTCTTCTTACAAATCATCAATTTGAATATTTTTTTAATTTTAATGTTTTTATTTATCCTTTATTTACCTCTCACTAAAAAAGTTTTTTTATTTACCTCTCACTAAAAAAAGAGACTCTCACTAAAAAAGAGATAGATACGTAATAACAATGTAAAATTATTGCGAGGTTATCGAGTAAATATTAGAAAAAGTAATTATTCGACCTTTTGAGCTATAAGCTATTTTGACCTTTTTTGGACTATTTTATGTTTTTTGAAGATTTTCATTAGATTTTCATATTAAAAAAATTTTTCATTACAATAATATATTGTGTGTCAATTAGGCAATTTTCAATGAATTTTTTATGTAGAAACTAAGATAAGGATTTTACATTCAACATTTATCCCAACGATATACATATTCGCACCCATTATCTTTAGGTTTCCATTTGTATTTAAGCCCTTCACCATTGTGATAAGTTTTTTTTATTTTAAAAAATATTTTATTTATTCTTTCTTGGCAGTTTATTCATGACATAAAACAATTTAAGAAATTGATTAAAATAAAAGGTCAACATAAAATGGATAAATAAAATAAAGGGCATATAATTCAATAATTTTTGGCGGCAAAAATTAAAAAGAAAAAATTTTATCGCCGTCTTCATAAAGGGCAAAAAATTAGGAAAGCATTATTTCATAATATTTTAAGGGCAAAATATAAAGAGAAAAATACTTTTTGAATATCATTTAAAAATTTAAAAATAAATTTATTTTTCTTTAAAATAAAAATATTAAAAAATTTAAATGAAAATATTATTTTGTAATTTAATTTTATTTTTTCTAATTGTAATTTCAAATGCTGGATTTATTCCTCAAAGTAGTTTATATTAATTTTAAGGGCAAATTAATCAGTATTTTCTCTAATCAAGCGGGCGTGAGATGCTGTTCAACGGAGTTAGCGGATCCTGGGAAATTTGTGGATAACCGTATCATAGGCAATCGTAAGAGGCAATCTCAAAAAACCAAGACGAGCGCAATGCGCTCACCCTTGATCCGGATCCGATATCTGGGATATCTGCGATATCTGCTATACGATCTCTTTTTCGGATCTAGATAACAGGAGCTGCCAAACTTACGTTCAACTAAAACGGCGCTCTATGTACATATTTCAATGCCTCTTAAATGGCCGCTCTGGCCTTTTAACTAGAGATTCCAATAGTTTTAAGTATAAATAATATTAAAATTTCTAAAAAATTTCCTGATATACATATTTTTAATTAAGAAATCAGCAATTTGTATCATAAAATGGCTTTCCCCGCATATCCTCAAAATCATTTTTTACAAGTTTTGGAGTGTTATTACAGAGGTATAATATTAGGAAAAGATACAAAAATGGATATAATATTTACATCACAATTATATTTGATAGAAAAAACAATGTTTTTACTAAAGAAAGATGATAAAATTAAGTAAATCTTACATAGTTATTTGTTTATTAATTGAAATTTATATTAGGGCAGCTTAAGTTATTCGAATCACATACGAAATTTTAACTGTTAGTACAAGCAATTTGCAAACAATTGTCCATTTCCGATCTTTCGGGGAGGAAATTTAAATTTTGGGGTTGGGATTTTGAGGTTAAGGGGTGCAACCTCAAACGAGAATCCAAAAATCGAGGATTTCCGACGTTTTTAGTTGAAATACTAATTCCTAAATCAAGGAGTAAAAAAATAGAAATTTACGAATTTTGAATTCATTTTGCTATATCGGCTAAATCATTGCAATAAAGGTACATCAAAACGTTATTAATTATAAAATTTATTTACAAGATACTAATAGGTCGCTAATATTTTTCGCTTAAAAATTAAAAAATTATCTTTTAAGTTTTGTTCATCGGTATTTGTTTAGTTTTACCAGAGAAATTGGCCTTTGTTTTATCTTAAAATATGCAAAACAAGTAAATGAATATATTAAGAATGAAGTAAATGAGGCCAATTATAAAACAATCATAAATGAATGCATTAGTCTTTACCGATCAAATAAACTTGGAGATTTAATAAATGTTACATTTAGCGAACAATTCAGAGAAATTAATTTTCTTGTATTTTACAATTATTTATTTAAAAAGAATATTTCTTTCCAGCAATTTTTAAGGTTTTTAAAAATTTTATTTTTATTTATGCATAAGGAGGATACATGATATTATTATGTGTAACCGAGCAGCGGAATAATAACCCAGTAACCCAGCAGCGGGATGGATGGTGGCACATTCTGTTGTGCTTCGGTCTGGGTCTCCACTGTAATGGTTCTATTCTATCTCCCATCCAATGTATTTTTCCACAGCATTAACATAGTACTTGTATAATGTGAATGATTAAATGTGTATTAAATGAGTATGATCATCCATGTATGAGTATAACATCCAAGTATGATCAATATGAGTATGGTCATCCGATAGCATATCCAATTCAATGCTTTTCTTTTTTTTCGTGTGTTTCTTCCCTCAAGTTCAATCTCTTCCTGCGGAAACGCTCTGTGCGCAAAGGATTCATCTTAAAGGCCTCAATTGAACCAGAACAGCTGAAGGATCCTTTATATGTCGATATAAAGGATCCAACCTACTTGTAACTTTCCCCAAGATAAATGATTTATTTATAGAGAAACTCTATTACATAATAACAACCAAACATTTGTTAATGAAGCATATGAGAAACTTTCTTCATTATTTGAATATTCGCGTGTTACGTTCTTATTTGAACAAAATCCTCAAATATTTGGAATTCCTGGTTAGATAAACAAAAATTTATTTAAAATTTTAATTTAGACGAACAGAAAAAAGAAGAAATGTATACAAGATTATATGAACGTTCATTACATACAGAAAGTATAATGGAATGGAGAGCAAGAAGTGTTTTAGATTTTGTTCTTTATAAGGATTGGTTTAATAAATTCATCAATGATAATCGTAATAGTTTGAAAATAAATTTTTTTAACCTTAAGATAGGGTCTAAAAACAGAGGATAAGGAGTAGTAGATATTATTGTAAACTAGCGAAGAGCGTAAGACGAGATTCTCGACGAGATTGGATTTTACGTTAAACCATTTAATGACTCTCCCCGGCCAAAAACTAAATTTACGCATTACTATTGGTCTAAATTTATATGGTCGGACACGTCCATTAAATGAACAAAATTTATTTTTAGCCAGAAACGCAGTAATTAAAAAATTTTGGAATAAAATATTCAAAAATTATTTGGTCGGTGTTGAATTATTAAAGAAAAATATTGAAGAATTAAACGATCCTAATGATGAGGAAATTGATAAAGAAATTATGGTACTTGTTTATAACGTTTAATATTTACTAATTAATTAATTCTGGACTAGTTATTTTGCTTTCACTTGACACAAAAGTTTGGCAGTTAAGAGCGGACTCTTTACCTGCCCAAGACTCCTGTATAGTCTTAGGTTAGGATTTTTGGAGGGGCTAGTATCATAACTATTTTCTAGATCATAACAATTTTTAATTGAGGGGGGGATCAACCTCTAGCCAGATCAACCTCCTATTTTATAAATATTCTTTTTTCTTTTTAACTAACATAAAGATCTGAATCTACTTTTCATTTTAATACCAGGTTTAGGTATATATGGGAGATATTCATAAAGTTGTGATTTTTTGAACTTCAATGCCTCGTAAAAACTTAATTTTAAAAATCAAAAAATCCAAATTAAAAAAGCGGCAATAATTATGACCCGACCTAATAATATTTTTAACAGACTCAGTTTCTCGATCCAGTAAATTATGCTTTAAAACAGAATAATTCATATCTCAATTTTCTTTATTCGGCAAAAGAGTGTACTTTAAAATGTGATAAAAATAAATCATTAAAAAGGTGTGTTGAAAAAGAATTTAATAAAGCATCGAAAAAATTTTTTCCAAAAAAGTTGAAATTACGTTTAGAGAAATTAAAAGAAATATTTTATAAAAATCGTCCTAATCAAGAAAATGAACAAAATAAAACTTTTATTGAATTGAAAAATATATTTGATCATAGAAATGGTATAATAAAATTAATTTTTATCTAATCCTTTCTTCCGGCTAAAATGCCTTTCTATGTTCTGGATAGAAGAAAGTAAAAAGGCTGACCATTCTGTACATATAGGGGAAAATAGGGGAAGTTATGTAGATGGGAACCAGCTTTCCTTTGGGAAGCTAGATGGGAACCAGAGATCGATTGGAAAAGACAAAGGTGTCGGAAGTCGGAAATCGGAATTCCGTTCGACCTATGATGCTAACCCCAGCCCATGGTACCCTAGCTTAGCCAGTAAAGCAACTGTTTGTGGTGAGCAATAGATTTATGTCTGCTCGGGGCCAACCTTTTACTCTCACTTACTGAATTAATTTAATTAATTTAAAATAATTAATGAAAAATATAATCAAAATAATTTTTAAAATTAATTTAGATGATACAATCGAAGAGTTTATAGGTATACGAAGATCCGAATTCGATAAAGAGGCAAATATATTATTTTTATATTTTGAATTTAAATAAATTTTTAGCTTGATAAATTTAATCCCTCAATGATAAATAATTTAAATGAAAAATTTTTTGACGCAAATGAAAACTTTGATAAATTAAAAGAAAAAGAATTTTTTGATGCTAGTGGTGATATTAATAATTTGAATGAGTTGGATGATGAAAATATAGAGATGAGTTTTATTAAATAAATTTCTTTTTAAATTACAGGGTGACAAGAAATGTTTAGGAAAAACTATTTATGGAATAACTTTTTTCAAATTAAGGATATTGAGATCAAATAAAATTTATATGATAGAGAAATAACTTGGGATCAAATATAATAAAGAATTTTCGAAGTTCCACCCCTTGTTTGGATACAGAGTAGAAGTCGCGTGGAAAAATTTTTGGCAAATGTTCGCACCTCCTCGTTGAGATTTTCTCTCATTCCCAAACGTTGATTTTCCATTCAGATATCAGATCCTGACATTAGAAAATTTTCAGGATCCATCAATTTTATACATAGATGTTATTACTTAGTGCTTTAAGTAAGCGATTGAAAGGTGTAATTATCCCGGCCAATCCCCGATATCTGCCTTAATCTTTGCGAACATTTGTAGCATAAAGAAAACCTCCATAAATTAATTTTATTTTTAAATTGAGGAAGACAGTAGTGAGGTTTTACCTCTAATAATAAAGGGACATGAAGAAAAGAAAATTAAAAAATTTTCTGAAGAGATTAAAAATGCTTTTGAGGAATATAAAGAAATTTTAAAATTTTTTGATGATTTAAAATCAACAAATCATCAAAACGAAGAAAATATTTTTGATTCGAATATGGATGAATTTATAGAATTAATTTCCTCGAAGAAAATTAAATTATTGGATAATATTACATTTAATGGCAAAAAACAAATTTATTTATATGGAACTGGACGTCCATTAAATAACGACTTTAGTAAATTTTTGACAGAAAAATTTCAAAAGTTTGAGAAGGAAAAACAATTTTTTGGAGCTGGAGAAGCAGCACTTTATAGCTGGCATATTTATAAAGCTGTTTTTATAATTATTAGTGAATTGGCAAAAAATGTTAAGAATTTGGAGGTTATTAAATTTAATATAAAAATATTATAAATAAAGACCCACCCATGAGGGGTGATGGGATATTCTAGCGTTTTCACTGTGATAGATCGCATGATCGATGCCTGCCTAAATCCATGTGCCATACAATCGGATCTATTAAGGATAGAGTACTGTGAATTTCAACTATGGGTAATTGGAAAGTTGAATCTGTTTGCTTACAACACCCCATTCCCAGCGATATCGCTTCCGCGGAGAATGGATGGTGTAAAGCATATAGCTATTTAATTCCTACGGCTTTACAGTAGGCTTTAGGAAGTCGCCGAATAACTTTTGCACTAGCTAAAGGAGAGAAATAGCTATAGCCCAGCTGCTTTACAAAGAGAATTATTCTCTAGCTCCTTATTAATATCTCTTGAATGTGATCCAATGTATTGGAGCTCATTTAAGTTTTCAAGAATTAGATCGTTTAATAAATCCTAAATTATTTATATTTTACGTATTTAAGTTATCTTCAACTGATATTAATAATTTTGAAGAAAAATTATTACAAGCAGAAAAACTTTTAGATGATCAAATTTAAGCGCCTATATTTATTAATTAAACATAGTTAAATTCAGAACAAGTAAAAGTCAATTTAATGATTATCAAAATAACTTTGTTAAAATGTTCATGGAATTGCCAGTTATGAAAGGCATAGTAAAAGGAAAGAAGAAAATAGTCAAAAATTAAACTCGAAATTTTTTAAAAATACTAACAAAGAATGACAATCGCATTTTAGTGATAAAATTTTTAGTTATTCAAACGGAGAAAGTTATTTCAGCATTATAAAGCATTAAATTGTCTAGTCCTATCTAGTTTAGTTTAAATAGACAAAATTGATCAAACATGAAATTTAAACGGTATTAAATTATGTTACCTACCCTTAACCACCCTAACTACACTCTAACCACCTATATATACCCTCTATCCACAGCGCACTATTTAATAATTCAAATGTCGCCATATTTAAACATTTTTTAAAGTAATTTATACTTGTTTGGCGCTTTGATATTTATGCAAGAACATTATTGATTATTTTTTATTGAACATTGGCTTTTTCGTTTTTTGTTGTTTTTTTAAACACAATTTTTACATCAATTTAATTTTTTAAACGTAATCTTATTAATTTAAAAGCCTTTTGACAAATTATTCAAATTTGGGTAAAATGAACAGTAATAAATGCAATTAGACTTCTGCCAATATCTTACCATTCAATTTAAGAATTGGTGAAAACAACAAAAAGAAATTTCTTAGTATAAATAAATACTTAATGACACTAATAGCCTTATACTGTTATTTTTACGATAAATTTAGACTTTTTTAATTTGTTTTCCTCGATGTAAGTTTGTTTTCATCGATGTAACATGTAGTGTTTAGACCTGGTCCAGCCCTAGTTATGATATTAAAAGTGTATGAATATCGTTTTTTTTGAAACTTTTAAAAATAAATTTTATATGCAGATGAATTTAAATATGTATGAGTACGTTACTAACTAATTAAATTAAAAAAATTAATTTTGGATATGTTTGCATTGCAAAATTAAAATTAATTGGTGACATTTCACTCATCACATTATTTAAACTTTAACTTCATCTTTTTATTCTTTCTTCTTCTATTCTTCAACCTTTTCTTTCTTTTCTTCATTAACTTCTTTCTTCTTTTCTTTAACTTGCTCCTTCATTTCTTCCTTAATTTCATCTTCAATCACATCCTCTTCCACCTTAACATCTTCCTTCTGTTCATCCTTAGCTCCCTTCTTCTTCTCATCTTTAACTTCCTCATTCTTTTCCTCCTTCATTTCATCTTCAATCTTCTTTTCTTTCACCTTAACCTTTTCCTTCTGTTCATCCCCAACTTCCTTATTTTTCACATCTTTAACTTCCTCCTTCTTTTCTTCCCTCTTTTCATCTTCAAACTTTTTCTTCATTTCAACCTTAACATCTTCATTCATCTCATCACTAACTCCCGTTCCCTCATTTTTATCATCATGCTTTTCAACCTCTTTCTTCTTGTTATCTTCATCCTTTACAAGCTTAACTTTATTTTTTTCACTTTTAACATCCTTCTTTTTATCGTCTTGCTTCTTGTCCTCTTCATTCTTTTCTTTAACTTCAACCTTAACATCCTCGGCCTTTTCAACCTTAACTCCCTTCTTTTTATCATCTCTAACTCCATCCTTCATTTCTTCTTTCCTCTCATCTTCAACCTTTTCTTTCACATCAACCTTAACATCCTCCTTCTTTACTTCTTGTGAAGGAACTATCAATTTATCCAATTCTTCATCTTCCCGTTTATTATAATAAATGAATGCTCCAGCCAGGAGATTTTCTACTATTGTTGAATGTGGAAAAGCTTGAAGTATTTCAAGCTTATTATCGTTCGAAAAATTTATTATTTCAATGGGATTACGTTTAAGTTCATTTCCAATTGAAGTTTCGACAATTATCAAGTTTTTAAGCTTATTTTCTATTTTATAGCTATTTATTATTTCCTTTGTCATGTCAAAGGGACCTTAAAAAATATTTAAAAATTGTTAAAAAAAATAATTAGATAGTATTTCAGACCTGCTCATGGTTACGGATTTTGGTATACGTATAGGATACAGGAGGATATCTGCAGGCATCTGCATATTATCTGTATCAATATCCGTGACCATGAATAGGTCTGAGTTTTATAATACTGCATAATGTCTATTTGAGCCTTGCAACAGAAAATAAAAATGGAGAGTAAGCTCCACGACTTTTACATACATATATTACTCCAGATGATATGTAAGCAGGAGGATTTTACATATTATCCTCCTGCTTACATACTATCCTCCTACCTCCTAACAAACTTAAGGCTAGGTGCAAATCTTCTCTATAACTACATGCAGATGCAATATCGTATGCTGATATACAATAAAAATATAGGATTACAAATAGGGATTCATTCATATGGGTTTCTAGATCCGTCTATTATGGCTCCCATCACCCCTCCCTCTGATCGTTTTAAAGGTGTACACATGTACATATAAAATTTCATTTCACTGATGGTAAACGTCATAAATCATAATAAATAAATTTATAAGATTACATTCTAGCATTATGATTAATGTTGCTTCATCAGCCTCCATTTTATCAACAATTGACGGAATTTTGTATAAATTTGTAGAAACACTATTCTTTTTAACCTCTGGAATTATCACAATAATTTTATATTTTCCTTCGATATATTTTTTTTCGCTTTCATTTATATATAATTCCTCAAATGTTCCAATTATACTAGCTTCAGAAATATTTGTTCCAGATGATGAGGCGATGGCTTTCCCTTTGTGTTTTAACTTTATTTCTTCCTTTTTTGGATTTTGTTGATTATCAAAATGCTCAATTGTCTGAAAGTTAATTAAATATTACTTTATATCCAATTAATTAAGCGTGACCGTTGGGCCTCGAGAGTTGGGCGAACCCTCCAAATAAACGAATTTTTTTGTTTTAAAAGTTTCTAATAAATAAGGTGTAGACAAAAACGGGGCGTGAAGGGGGACAGTACCGCTTCTCTTAGATTTTGGAAGCAAAATGAGCTTGAATTTTTTTGTGCGAGTTTGTCCCCCGTATTTATACTTATGGAAAATAGTCGTACTAAATTTATATTAAATATGATATTCTGCACGAGGCGATGTAATGTCTATAGTCTATGGATGTAATGCGAACCAAAATTTGGACGGCAAATTGATAAACTGCTCGAATCTGTGAAGATTTAATAAACAATTTTTTGTATTTCTCCGAAAACGACAAAAATACTTCTCTAGCTTTATTTCTACCTTTGTCTTCCCTGTATAAATAATGATTTGAGTGGCCATGCATGCTTCCAGGGCCTATTAAACGAACATAACGTAATTTTCTTCCTTGTAAAGCTCTTTTAACGTTCTCAAGAAATTCGGTTCTGTCAAAATAATTTATAAAATTAAAAATATTGTTGTAACACAAAGGTTTGGGGGCCAGATTATCGGCCAGGAATATCTATTTTATATGTGGTCTAAAATTAAGGGGATGGATTTCAAGGCGTTTATAGCATCCTAATTTAACAGCAGGTCATAAGGATTAGGGTTGAAATTTTCGAGTCGGGCCTACGGTCGAGGCATTTTTTCGGGCTTGTTTTTATCGAGTCGGGCCGGTGCGAGTCTTTTTCGGGCCTAAATTTATCGAATCGCGCCGGAACGAGTCTTTTTCGGGCCAAACATCTAGGCCCGACTCGATCTTTCGTCCGAGTCGGTCCATTTTGGCAACCCTAATAAGGAATCTTTTTTCATACAGTATCATTCTAATAAAAACTACTTAACAATGTATTTTCTTTATCTTTTAGTAATTTTTCTTTTGCTTCATTAACCATTTTGTCATAGTCCCCAGTTTCTTTTGGTTCCTAAAATTTGGATTTTAAAAATTATTTTTTAAATATATAACCTCAAGGTAACTTTTCAAATAATCAAAACCTGGAATTTTTATTCAAATTATTTCTATAATAATTTAAATATAAACAAACGTTCCCAATCATCCAAATTTTTCATTTTAAAATCACGAATGGCTTTAACTACTGGATCTATTACACTTGGTGGATTTTGTGAAGAAGACCCTTTTTCTTTTTTCTTTGGTAATCTTTTCTTCTTCCCAGCTTCACAAATTGTTAACCAAACAAAAAATATTGTTAAAAATATTAATAATATTTTCATTATTGAAAAATAATTATCAATATCTAAATAATAAACAGATAAAAAATCGTCAAATGGTCATTTAATGAGAGTCTAAATGACTCCCTTATTTGTTAGGACTGAAAATTATAAAAAACTACCTATCAACTCCCTCAATCAACCCTTAATTCAGCTCTTTTGCGAAACGATGTCTACCTAATGAAAGGTCAGCATCATTCTAGTGCATATTCTGGCATCTACTTCTTTCTATTAATTACCCCCCTTTAGTGAAAGTTTAATAATAATACACTCCTCAAAGCCCTTATTACATGTTAAATTTTCAAAACTCGAATAATTGCCTTCCCTCAGATATTTAATCCATCAAGTTGAAAGCAGAGTTCGATCGGAATTCTGATTTCTGACATTTTTTGTTCCGATTTCCGAAATTTTGGCAAAATTTTCGATTTCCGAAAAATTTTTGAAACAAATTTCCGACTAAAGATATTTCCAAACTTATGTCTGTGGTGCTACAAAGATCCGATCGTTCTCTGGTAAGAACTTGAAACTTAACTAGATATTTATTCAAAAAATTTATGCAAGAGTAATTTATTCGGATTATTCAGGATAATAATAAATCGACTAGTCCTAAATCACTTTTATCTGATTAGCTCTCAATTCATTTTGCCTTATCTCTTTTATACTGGCCAATAAATATTTCTTGGATAAAGCCAAAATATCAAAAAATGAAAATATGCCCTTTCTATTAATGCCCTTTATTTATTTCAAAATATTCTTTATATCGGCTTCCTTTAAAGTCGGCAAAACTCTTTTATATCTTATCTTGTGTTATTTATTAAAAGTGCATATTTCAAAATATTTTACAAGATATACAAAAATCGGCTTTATCATCCTTTATGTCTATTTTACATTTCTCTGAATATATTTTTATAAGTGCAAATCTCTTTATAAAAAAACAAAAAGTGCAATAATTTTGAGCCAAATTAATCCAATTCTCGATAAGATACAATTCAATCCATTTTAATTTAATTTAAATGGAGAGCCGACTAGAGACCGAGAATATAGAGATCGAGATTTTTTAAAAGCCTGGACCTGTTCCTGGAGTTTGATTTATTGACCTGGGCCGAATCCTGGGCCTGTATTCCAGGAAAAACCCAGGCCAGTAAAAACCCAGGAATTTTTTACCTGGGCCCAGGTTTAACTGGTGGATTTTTAGATATTCAATAAAGTATCAAATTTAAATTAAATTGTATAATAGAGGGATTAAGAGGGATATCTAGAGAATTGAGGAATATCGAGAAATTTAATGGGATTTTAAAGGTTAAGGTGAATATCAAGCGATTTAGAGGGATTAAGACGGATATTGGCGATTTGGATGAATTTTGAGGGTTTAGGCGGATTAAGTTGAATATCGGGTGATTTTTGCTGGGATTTCGGGGATATTCGACGATCTAGAGGATATCAATAGAAATGAAAAAAGTGGGGCAACTTCAAAATTACCAAATTATAAAAAAAAAGAGAAAATGGACACAGCGCTCGGAAAAAGTTAAGTTCTTGTGCCATCATTTCTTCTCAATTTTCTTTTCCCAAAACTCTCCTCTATTTGCCGTAGGAACAAAATCAAACAAAAAGGATCATCTGACGAGGAAAACTTTATATGGTCTGTCAATAATTTTACACACATAATAATTAGCACATCAAGTATGAACAATGATGCAAAAAGATCGTGATGTAAGAAAATCTACAAATTTTATGAACATTTTTATCTTTTTAAAAATTAGGGCATTTATCCACTTCAATGCCTCGAAATCTTGCTTTTCCAGTGTGTAGATCTTAACGGAGTGTACCTATTTATTTTCAACGAGTTGTTACAGAAACCACATGAAAAAGGAACATTTGCATTTTATAGTTAATCGTAGTGATCAGCAATAGCTTCGTTTCGACTTTTCTTATTTTTTAACTTATATAGGCGGAAATTGTTTACATCGTTTAATATTACATGTATAATGTGAAAAGAGAAAATTTAAAAAACCCGAAAATAAAAAATCAAAAAATGTTTTCTTCCACAATTCTTGTAATTCCTTTACTTTTAATTACTATCATTTTCTTTTTTGTCTTCGTTCAGTAATTTATAGTAAATTTTAGTCTCTTTTGGTAAATAAAAGAGTTTCGTTAGATTATCGTCTGGAAATGCTTTAATAGACGAAAAAAAGTATTGACGATATTGGTTAAGAAAATCAACAGGGTAGCTCAATGTAGATTCCACAAGTATCAAACTTCCAAGCATATGTTTTGAATTATATGTGTCGATTATATTTATTGTCATTTCGGGTGGACCTTAAAAATTTTTTTATATTAAACATTTATTACTAGTGTACGGTATGCCGCAGTATATCTACACCATATCGTTCCGAGAAAAATACCGCGGTATTTTCTGTTATTTCGGTAATTTTGAAATTCATCTTGGCATTCTAAAATTCTCTAAATTTTCGTCTTGTATTTTGACAAGCTGTGTTTTCAAAAGAAACATTTTATTTTAAGAAAATCCTGTTCCTACAGGCAGATTTTTTAGATAAAACCGCGACCCTGACCCGTACGATTTTATCTACCCATTCCAGACATTCTCAACCTCGATAAAAACTATTGAAAATGTTAAAGCATATGTACATTGTATCATTAAAATCAATGTGGCCTCATCATTTTTCATTTCATTAACATGTTGTGGAATTTCTCTTAAATTTGTTTGTTTATTCTCAGGCTTTATTCCAAAAATATAGTATTTTTCTCGTAAATATTTACTTTTATATTCTATATTTAGATGCATGTCTTCGAAAGTTGCTATAATTTTTTCAATTCCTTCAAATTTTCGATTGTTTATTTTATTAAAATGCTCAATAACCTAAATTTATATAATAATTTATATGTGAATGAAAAGTTTAGCTTCGAGAAGGTATCGTCCTTACTGTAGTACTGTTACATTCTATCATCATGTAAGGTAATTTGCCATCTACTTTCACGTTATCTTTTAATAGATCTTAAATCCCTGTGGAATAAGCCTGTAAATAATAGTCATGCTATTATCTTAATAATATGTATTATGTCTTTAAAGTTTAACTATGGCAAGTCAGTTATAGTTGAAGCAGCATGTTTTATATTACTTATGTTATCCAGGCTAATCTGGGAGAAAAACTTCCTCCGTGAATTGGCTAACTCACGGACGCAAGAAGATAGCAGGATATATATCATATGTATTAATTAAATTACCAAAAGTCCCAATGCAAATTGGTATATTGCCGTAATTTGTGAAGACTTTAAATATTTCTTTTTATAATTGTTGTCCAACTTTTCAATTAAAATTTTCCTTTCAGTTTTTGCAATTTCATTATCGTCATAATCAAAGTGATCGAGATGCCCATACATACTTCCTAAACCTATCATACGAACATAACGCAAAGTTCGCCCTTGTAACGCGTGTTCAACTCCTTTGACAAAGACATCTCTTTAAATTATTTAGAATATTAATTTAACTATTTTTCTAACCTAGATAAAATATTTAAATATTTTAAAGTGTTCATTATCGATAATTTGATAAGGCGTTTTTAGAACGCAGGTCTAAATCAGCGAACTTTTGAAATAACTACGTTCAGCATTATCGAATCGCGGGCACCCTAATATGGTTCGCTACATGCTGCTTCGTTGAATGAAAAATTAGCACATATACTTTTAATAGGCGATAATTTTAAACAAGTTATCACAAAGGTTTCTAAAATAGAAGGTTGAGATTAGAGGATATTAGAGGATATAATTAGAGGATACACAGTAATTTGTCATCTAAGATTCGAAAAATTTAAAAGTTAAGCAGCGGAGCTATAGCTATTTCTCTCCTTTAATCAGCGGCTCTTCAGTCTGTTGTGTTATTCATTACACTACGCCGCTTGTTGCACAGCTTAGGAAATATATAGCTATATGTTTATCATATGTTTAAGCCTGGAGTGAAAAGTTATTTTTAATTGTCAATGAGTTATTTTTAAATATCTTCAGAACCCCCAAATCCAGTAAATCTAAAATTCAGTTTCTTTAATGCTAATTTTTAAATTTTAATTTGTTAAACAAACATTAAATCCTCATCTAAAGGGATATTCAAATAATCAATTGCTTCATTGACCATAGCGTCATAATCGTCATTTGTTTTAGGGTTCTTAAATAAAATTTAATTTTAAAGAATAATTTATTATTCTTTAAAACAAAACCTCAATATAACTTCCTTCCAACATGTCATAGCCTAAAATCGTTGATTTTCAAAAAAACTTATTAAAAAAGCTATCCAAGACCGGATATTTTAAGACAGAAGATCGAGATATGATCTCAAAGTCAAGAATCAACATCAAAGTGGATAGCTCATTTTGGCATCCCAAAGTTGTTTATAGAGCCAGGTATGGGTATGGATTGAGCATTCTTCCATGTACTATTTTCCATCTATTTATGTGTGAGCCGAAATTGAACCGGAAACTGGCTTTTCAAGTTATGGATCACTCCTGTTTTTCCATTGGTTATTTACCGTCCTCGATTTAAATTTTTCGAAATCATACTATGTAACAGTGATCCTGCCGACAAAAAATTAAAATTTCCGATTGCGGGAAATCAGGATCCCGACCCAAAAAATCGACGGGAATTCCCGATTTCCCTTCTATGTACATAATATTAATCGCGGTCTAAAATTTATTTTAGATTACCTTCCCAGTTATCCAATTTATTTTTTAGATCTAATATTTGTTTTTCTATTTTCTCGTGTTCTTGAATATTTAAAGTTCTTGAAGATTCCCCGACATGTTTTTTTCTTTTTTGTGGTCGTTCATTTCCATTTTTTCCGGCGTTTCCAAATTGTGTTAAAAATAGTGTTAAAATTATAAATAAAATAAACCAAGATTTTTTGTTTTTCATTAATTTAAAAAATAAAAAAACTAAATTAGAAAAAAATACATACATAAAATAAATAAATTACTACATTAAAGCGTTTGTCTCATTACCCAATGCCTACTAATTCACTAAAAATCCTCCTTACTTAATACTAATCCCCTTGAATCCCCCATTTGTGATAGCTTATCCCTTGGTTACAAACGCATTTACGGACAAAACAAACTTTTATATATAAATTGTTTAATTAAAATTAAATAAAATCTCCCTTTAACACGCATAGCTATTATTAATTGACTGCCTGACTAAATTGCCCAGATGCCTGATGCTATTAAATCGAGTGCGTCCTTGAACATAAAAGATAAGAGGAGAAAAGAAGGAAAGATACACGCGATTTTGTCTCTCTTTTTACTGTATACTATTTCTATGCAAGACGCATGCGTTTTCATATGATTGCCAACTAAACGTAAAGACAGAATTCATGGCAACTGCCATGCTCGACGGGGATGGGCCGGCTGCACTTTAATAACGTAAACGGTGAATGCGCAGAAACATAAATGGCAAACAAATCGCGGGATCAAAGGTTTAGGTGAAATATTTGTAAGCCAGAAACGTATGAAACTCCTCTTTATTTAGCACAGCAGTGAAAAATCATAGAGTTTTGGAGTGCCAAATAATATTTTCAAAATAATAGCCGCTATTAGGGCTGTAAATCAAATGAAAAGGAAAAATTCAAAAATTTCTAGAAAATCGGAATGCGGAATTCAGCAAAGGCTGAATTCTGTAGAAGGCATACTGAAACGAAGATTTAAGTTGATATTTTTAAGAGAAAATACTTAATAATATTATTAAAGTATGTCTGTCTAAAAATATAGCTAATCATGACCCGATATGAACTTCAGTTTACTCACTTAACTTTAATAATCATTTAGCTTTATTACAAACATAACACAAAAAATACATAGAAAAATTTTTGTCAACAGATTCAATGACATTTTCATAAACTTTTATGATTAATCTCGATCATTTTCTTTTTCTTCTTCAGCCACTACATTATAGTAAATCCTTGTTTTTGTAGGTAAATAAAAGAGTTGTGTTAATAGAATTTTTGGGAATGCCAAAATGGACGATGAAAAACTTTGACGATATTGGTTAAGAAAATCAACGGGGTAGCTCAATGCAGATTCCACAAGTATCAGGCTTCCAAGCATATTTTTTGACTTATATGTGTCGATTATATTCATTGTCATTTCAGGTGGACCTTTAAAAATTTTTTTGAATGATTATTTCTAAAGCCCGGGGCCCAGGCTTTTATTCTGAAAACGTGAATTCCCAAATTTTTGGGCCGTAATTCCCAGTTCACGAAATCGAGAGTTTATTTCTTATGCCGGCGCGATCCCTTCAAGAGCCACCATTTTTAGCTACGTACTTATAAATAGAAAACTACATTTGACGAGTCAAATCAAAAAAATAGAAGGCGACTACACCTGACTCAGTCTTTTTTGATAAAACAGTGACCCTTACCTAGTACGATTGCCTTAACATCGAAGGTCAGGGTCTAACCCTAAATAAAAACTAAAAAAATTCAAGCCATACACTGTATCATTATAATTAATGTAGACTCATCCATTTCCAACTCACTAACAATTTGTGGAATTTCTTTTAAATTTATATATTTATTCTCAGGTTTTATTCCAAAAATATTGTATTTTCCCCTTAAATATTCCTTTTCATAAGTTAAATTTAAATGCATGTCTTCGAAAGTTGCTATAATTTTTTTAGATCCTTCAAATTTTTGGTTGTTTATATCATTAAAATGTTGAATAGCCTAAACGCAGCATTATTACTTTAGATTTATTTTTAATTTATTAGCACAGTAAGCTCTAGGTAAAAGGTTAGCACCGAACAGGCACTGATCCTGAACATCTTGGGACTTAACACTAGACATCTTCTTCTATTGATATCGCTAAACGTGATTTACCAACTGAGATCCATTAGATTTTTCATTTAAACTAAGTAAAGAACAAATTTGAGCACTCTGTTTTACCTTGATAACGGTCTTGTCTATAATCTTGTGGGAAATTACTTCCCGAACAACTCCTTAATCTGGGCTATCCCACGAACACTAAGATACCGAAGGACTTAATCTTACGAAAATTTTCATTCAATCATTTGCTATTTTCTGGTATGACTCGTCTTTCTTAACTTATCAAATTTATTAAAATACCAAAAGTCCCAATGCAAATTGAAATATTGCCGTAATTTGTGAAGACTTTAAATATTTTTTCTTATAATCATCGTCCAACTTTTCAATTAAAATTTTCCTTTCAGTTTTTCCAATTTCATTATCTTCATAATCATAGTGATCGAGATGCCCATACATACTTCCTAAACCTATCATGCGAACATAACGCAAAGTTCGTCCTTGTAACGCGTCTTCAACTCTTTTAACAAAATCATCTCTTTAAATTATTAATTTTTTTATTCATATTTATTTTATCTTTAAATGTCTTAAAAGGTTCATTAGGAGAGACCATGCTCTTTTACAGACCACATTCTCTGGTATAAGCTAGAGAGCGGCCGAGACGAGATCTCGATTAAAAATATCGGATATCGAGATCGAATTATTTTGAGATCTCGATTCTCGCACGACTCTCACATTCCAATCTCTAGTATAAGCACACCTTACTTAGTTGAAAAACAGAAGGTAATATTAGAGGATTTACGATAATTAGCCGTCCGAGATACAATAAATTATAAAATTTCTTAAACAAACATTAATTTCTCGTTTAACGAATTTTCTAGTGTATGTTTCAAATAATGTATTGCTTCATTAACCATAGCATCATAATCATCAAATGTTTTCGGTTCCTCCATATAAGTTTCATTCAGTATATTATAGCCTAAAATAAAAGTTGGATTTTTAATAATCATGAATCGAGACTCACTTGATATGTATATCTAATAGTTTTTTAGAACGAAAAATGAGTATCTGGACCAATGCCATGTTTGGCAGATTAGTCTACTGCTCATATTCTTTCAAAATCATCGCTCATACTTAGGGCTTCAGAGTTGCTTAATATTTCGAATTTCGGAGTAATTGGAATCGGCAATCTCCAACTATATGCCACACCCTGGCTCTTCCATTGGTACTTCCCGTTAATTTAAAAAAATTTTTAATACCATTCCAGTTATCCAAAATATATTTTAGTTCCATTATTCTTGGTTCCAGATCGACATCTTCTTGAATATTTGAATTTCTGGAAAATTGCCCGACAGATTTTTTCGTTTTATTTTGTTTTCCTTTTTGCTTTCTTCCAGCAGTTACAAATTTTGTTAAAAACTATACATTTACTTTCATACATTTAATTTAAATTTACATTTATATTTTTTTCTGTGGAGTCCATTTATTTATTTATATTTTTTTAAAAAAAAACTTAACAATTTTTTAAACCGTCCTATTGTATTTGCATTTTTTTATGTTACCTCTCCATAAGTGATCCCTGTGGATCCAGGAGTTTTATTTTATTGTTTCACATTTTTTTTTATTTGTGTTCGATAAAGAAAATTAAAAAAAAAAAATTAATATTAAAATGAAGCAAAATTTTATGTTTCTCATTAATTTGAAAAATAATAAATTGCTAAATTAAAAAAATTTTTAAAAGAATATATTATAATAATAACACTAAATATGTCAATTTAAATAATACACAATTGTCCTTTTTATTCGTTTCCGATTTCATCATATTAGTTTATCATTTATCATATTAGATATTATTTAGTAATATAGTTTTAAATAAATTAATAATCTCATGCAATTATTATGATAGTTTTATTATTTTTTAACGCCTGATCTATTTTAATTGTCAATTTTATTAATTGTCTTCCGCTTCCATAACGTTGTAGTAATTAATAAGCATCGCCGGACTTCTCGCCATCTTATTCTTCTGATTCCTCATCCGAAAACAAATCGGAAAACGGACTAAATTCAAATAGCATTTTCGCATCTCCATCATGTTGTTGTCGTCGAAGTGAGTCTATTAAAAAATTTAAAGTAATGAAAAATGTACTAAAATAAAAATCTGCAATATTTCTTGGCAGATTTGATGTAGAATGTTATTGTTGGCGCCTCGTTGTGTCTGTACAGCTTTAAATTAATTCTTTATAATGTATGTAGTTATAATTAAAGGAAAAATGATTAAAATGATAAAAATGGAAAAGAGATTAAAGGAAAAATGATTTCAGATAATCAAAGGAAAAATGATTTCAGATAATTAAAGGAAAAATGATTTGATACGAAGGTTATTGTTGGCGTTCTCGTCGTGGTTGTACAGCTTTAAATTAAATCTTTATAATGTATGTAGGAATAATTAAATGAAAAATGATTAAAGTGTGTTACTAAGTGATTAACAGCAATGATTCTATTAAAAAGTATAAATCCGTATGAGTAAGCCTCAATATTTTTTATTTATTATTTTTTATTTCGACTCTTTTTCCTTATACATTCCTCATGAGAAAGAGTTGAAAGGATGAACACAACGAACACGGATTTTTGTTCCTTTTCATAAACTAGGCTGACAACAACTATTAAGCTGTTTGTATGAAAAAGTTGATAATGATGATCAAACTATAGTTTATCTAGTATAGTGAAAATGGAGGCGCATTGTATGAAAATTGTAAAATTTCAATACAAAGGAATAATGTAAAAGTTTAAAAAATTGTAGGAAATAAATTAAAATATTTGAATATCACAAAGAAAAAGTAAACAAAATGAAAGTAGTTACCCCCCCCACAAGGTTGCACTGCGTGCAACCTTATGGAGGAGGAAGTCGGCAAATCAAAGGAAACCAAAAGGTAAAGACACATTTCATATTCCTAACCACCCTTTTTTTACCACCCCTTGGTTGCAGGGCAGTAGTTAACTAGTCCCCTTTCGCTCCACAACCCAAATCGCTCTTCTACCCAAATAGCTCTTCCTTTTTTCAAGGTAGCTACCCAAATCGCTCACTCCTTCATCAATAAAACCTAAGCCTATAGGGGGTATTTTTTGATATTTGCCACAAACACCTTTCTTTGGGAAGTGTTTAGGGGTAATTAATCACGATTAATTAGGGTAATTAATCATTCCATTATTAATTTCCCTTTGGCTGATACTTTGTGGGGAATGAAAAAATAATTTTTGTGACGTTTCATGGTGAGACACATTTTGTTAAAAAATTTGACAATATGAAATTTGACATTTTGAAATATTTTTAGTTTTGATAGAAAAATTTAAAAGGGACTTTCTAATTTAAAAATAAATTTAAAAAATTAAATAAAAATAGTTTTAATTAAATAAAAATGATAAAAAATAAAATTTACAAAATTTTGCATAAAATATAAAATGATTTTAAAAAATGACCGGAAGTACAAATGTAAGGGGTTTATTTCAAAATGCCAAATTTAAAAATTGGCGGGCATTTCAAAATTTAAAAAATTTCCAAAAAAATTTAAAATGTCAAAAAATAATAAAAATAAATTATAAAATTTAATAAATAATTATAAATTAAAAAATGAGGGAAAAAATTTGACAAAATTCTAGAAAAAAATTAAAATGATTTTAAAAAATGAACGGAAGTCAAATGTAAGGGGCGGAGCTAATTATTTCGAAATACCAACATTAAAAATGTCAAACGATAAAATGCCAATTTTCAAAATGTCAAGCGACGCAATGCAAACTTTGAAATATCAATTTAGGTGTCTTGTCTTCCATTAATTAAAACTTATTATTATTATTAAACTAATAAAATATGATTGTTAATCAAAACTTGAACACCATTAATTAATTCGAATTATTCTATTTTACAATTTATCCCAAATTTTTCTATTTAAAATTTTGTTCGTCAAATTGACGCAGATTAATTTCGTATTTTCACTAAATAAACTTAAACTAAATATGGTTCATATCCCCTTTGATCCGCGTACTATCGGATATGATGATCATCATACGGCTTTCAGTCAAATAGGAGGAGGGACTGGTGAAAATTATTATTATTTTCGCGGACTTAATCCTTATCAACGTGGATACGGAAGACAAATGGGTGGTGGAGTTGGAGATGTACTTAGAAATTTTTGGCGTTTCCTTTTACCTTATGCAAAACGCGCGGGAACAGCTGTAGCAAAAGAAGCATTGGATACTGGAGGAAGAATTTTAGAAAGTGTGGGAAACCCAGAATATGATCAGGAAGCATTTAAACCAAATTTTAAACAAACAGTAATTAGTGAAGGAAGACGTGGATTAGATAGATTACTTGAGAAGGGTGGAATGCCAAAGCAGTTTGGAACCGGATTGCAAGAGAGTGATAGTATAAAAGGACTCAAAAGAAAGCGTAAACCCCATTCATCATTTTCAAAAGAAAAAAGTCATCAAATCATTATTGGTAAACCGTCTCATAGTTCAAAAAAGAAACGTCAAAAAATAGATACTTTCGGTCTTTATTAAATAAAAATGTCTACTCATCAGAAAATTGATCGTGATTCTGGCAACGCGATAACAAATGCTTTATCATTTTTCGAAACTCCTCATACAAATGTTAGTATTAGCAACTCATCATTTATCGAATTACTCACACTTAACCCTGTAAATATAACTCCTTTTCATTTCAAAATCCACGCAAGCACAAATTATATTGACCTATCAAAGTGCTATATTTTTACCGAGTTAAGAATTCGGAAAGAAGATGAACATGGACGTCTAACCAATTTGGAGGCTGCAGACAACAATGTTTCCTGTTGCCAACTTATTGGACATACAATTTGGAAAAATTGCCGTATCAGTATAAATGGAACCCAAATCTTTGAAGGAAATTCACTTATGGCATATAAAAGTATTTTCGACTATGAACTTACGTATCCACAGACAGTAAAAAATTCATACTTATCCGCCGCAGGATATTACGATGATGGTGATATGGGGCTTAATGGTGTTGGGTTTGAGAATAGAAGAATCTTATTTGCACCATCAGCTGATGGTATACAAAAATCCGCTCAATTCATGGCAAAATTAGACGTAGACATTTGCAATCAACCTCGGTATCTAATTAATCAGTGTGAAGTAGATATTGAGCTTTTGCCCAATGAATCAAATTTTCTTATTGTTGCTCCAGGAGCCACTAATCATAAATATCATTTAGAAGTACTTGCATGCAAATTATTTATCAAAAAAATTGAGCTAATGGATAGTCTTGCCTTCGATATAGCAAAGAAATTAGAATTGAAACCAGCACGATATCCAATGAGAAAAACTTCGTTAAAATCATTATTCATAAGCGAGAACAGGACAGAATTTAATGCTAATCTATGGATGGATCAAGTACCGAGGAGAGTGGTCCTTGGAATGGTTAAAAATGCCGATTTTGTTGGAGCTCAAAAGACGCATCCTTTTAATTTTCAACATTTTAATTTACGAGATATTTCCATA